GGTCTGGGCACTAATGCAGTCTCCTGCTAAAGGGACAGCCTAGGAGTTAGAAGAAATCCTTAGTAGGAACAGGTGAATGTGTGCTACCGACATCGTTTGCGATTCAAAGTGCTCTACAGTGTCAGGAAAACATTTTCCCCCATTAAACAAACAATCTGCCAGACAGTTTCAGGCTCTGTCACTCCCTGTCAGTCTCCTCAGCGCAGTTTGGCAGGTTCTGGCACACTCCCTCCACTTTGATCTTGCAAAAAGAGCCTAGCACTGAATGAGGGGAGGTGGTCATCCCTGGGAGATGACAACCCTTCCCTTGCCGTGGTCAGCATGAAGCCAGAGGGATGTTCCAGCAAAGAGGATGGATGTGGACTGCACTGGATCCCTGGAGCAATATCTAGCCCATGGAAGAGCCATACCAGCAAGCCCAAGGCAGTGGTACACAGAGAAAAGGGCTGGCTACCAATACAAGGTGGCCCTTCTTGTGCCTTAGGGTTGACAAGGCTGCAGCAGCAGGAACACAGGTCCTAATCCCAGCTCTGGCACTTCCTTGACACATGACCCCACGCTGCTGCCTGTGTTTCCATGCCCCATGTCTGTAGACTATTCAGGGCAAGCACTGGCACACGCTTATGTTTGCCCAAGGCCTGGCACAGCAGAGCCCTGCTCCCGTGTCCGCAGTTTGGCTGCGGGCAACGCCACAGCAGTGTCCGCAGGAGGCACTGCCTCCAGGCAATACCTGCACCCAGGGCCAGGCAGGGAAGCACAAGGGTAAGTGTCCTTTGAGGGGACACAGCATGTCATGCCCAAGAGGGCTTGCCCTCTGCAAAGGGATGTCGATGCAGCAGATGAAGTGGATTTTCTGCAAGGACACAGCAGCCTTTCAAAAGGTAGCAAATGCTTTCTCCGAGTTATTCAGTTACACGTTCCAAACTCCCAAACTACACAAATCTCCTGAGAAAATGCAAGTCAGTCAGAGAGGAATCTTGGAGCCACTTCAAACGTTTTGCCAATAATTCATGCAATGAGATTAAAAAAGCCATTTCTTCCTTTGCCAAGTACACAGAGACCAGAGTGTTCTCCATTGTGTAGGAACATCACAGCATGCAGCATTTGACAAGGAAAGGTCACCGGGGAGGGACCACAACTCCTTTTTTAAGAGGCTGCTACCAGCGTTCTTTGGAAAAACTGGTTTTACTCTGTAGCAAAAGCCGTAATTGAATGCCCAGCTAACTGGGCTGAAGTACCTGCCTGTGGTTTCTTTTAAAGAGACTCTGTTGGAGGGTTCTCTGCTCTCTATCTGACCTGGGCCCAATCTTCCAGTGGCGTAAATCAGCAGACACCCATTGATTTATCTTGCCTGAGTACTTTAGTGCTTACTCCACACTGCAGCATGGGCAAGATACCAGGCAGCAGAAATAAGCTGTGAGAGCAGAGGTTCAGGCTCAGAGGAGTCTCACGGCACAATGTGCCTGATTTCCCCAGACTTCCAGGGACATACAGCATCTTTTCCAGGGGAGTAAGAAAGCTACTGGAAACTAGCCCTTAGTCAGATGAGACAGTAAGAGGAAAAATAGCCATTAGGAGCCACAAGCAAATAACCATAAATCATGTGATGCTTCCCAAACTACTTCTTCACCCACACTGACCAATGGGTGAGGAACAAATTCCAGCCACAGCTGATCATCTAGTATGTGTATCACTTTCCTCACTCTCTAACACAACAGTTGTGGCCCTACAAGAATCCAGCCACAGCAAACGGACAGGCTGCTACAAGATGCAGTGTGGAGAACTTTTCTGGAAACACACCGCAAACCTCTGAACACAGTCTGCTGAATCCAGTGTCAAGTTTACGGGATGGGATAGAAGAGTTCAAAACACCACTGGAAATCTTTGCCAAAACACCACTGTGGTGTAAGGGCGGCTCCTGAGACACCACAACAGCAACATGGATCCAAAATCCCCTCTCATTGTAATAAAAATGGAGCCATTTCATCATGACTGATTTCATTGTGTCATTATCAATTTATCCCATGTAAAGTGAGAGATGACCCTCAGCCCCCAGGGGATTTAGAAAATGCTACAGGAGTGTGAGGAGCATATCAGGGGGCTCTGAAAATACTACTAGAAGCTGTCTAGCTGTCTAGCAGAAATCCCATGACAATCACAGACCATCCTTGCAGTGAGACACAATAGCAGGACAAAGGCAGGCAACTGAGCTATTAAAGGATCCATGGAAGTAAGAATGCAGGAAATACCAGGCTGTCCAGCCAGTGGTCTGTCTAAGCCCATAACCTGTCTCCAACAGTGACTGTAATTCAGAAAAACACCCAAACTCTGCAAGAGGTAATTACACAACAAGGTACAAGAAACAAGATTTTCATGCAACTTCCTCCCAGTCACTGTCAGTTTCCAGCTGGCTCCTCTGCAGAGCAAATCCTACCCCAGACTTGACTGTACCTTTATAAACCAGGATTTCCTTGTGATCCGCCTGAAACAGCCCATCTCTTTCTGTATCCTTCCAAGATCACAGCCTCATCAAAGCATTCCGTTGCAGAGTTTCATCACTAACAGTGCACTGGGCTGAAATAAAAACAAAAAAAGTATTTTTTCTACCAGTGCTGAGTTACTGCTAATTCAATTTCAGTGGCTGCCAATCATTGATTTCTAGAGAGGCCCATGAAAGGCTACTTGTTTTGTTACCAGGCAGACAGAAGGCATTCTAGTAGTTGTTAAATAGTTTCTAGGAAATGGCAGGAGAATTAGAAAACCCTATAGCAATAGCAAGATGACTTCCATTTGTGTGTGTCTGGAGGGAGAACCCAGTGACTCCGGTTGACAGTATGACCCCCTGGCATGAAGCCTGTTTGCTTCATAGCTGTGAACACAATTAACTGATGGAATTTGGTCTCACTTGTAAACCTAATGAGCTGGGCTGATACAGGGATGCCAGTAAATCCCATCAACTTCTGTCATAGTTACTGAGCAGCCACTTCTTCACCTGAATCAGCACAGGTTACACAAGTGCTGTTTGCACCAGCGTCTGAGCACCTTGCCCACTGCAGCTCACACTGTTTCATCTTGGGACACTATGGAAATGCACAATGGAAATACCATAGGGGGCAGCTGAGATTCCTAGGAGACAAAAATAGACCCACCATTAAAAATTAAACTTTTCGCCTTAGTGGAGAACTTTCTCAATATGCTTGCAATGAAAGAAGATATTACAGGACCATTCATAAAAACTGCAATGCAACATCCCCTTTCTAAAGGTCACTGGTGGCAAAGTCTACCATAAAACCAATGAAATTTTGATCTTTATGGCATTTACTTTTCTCTGCTGGCCAGCAAATTCCAAAGTTAAAACACACTAGAAGTCCTATTTCATGGCAAAATAAAAAATCACAGCACTAGTATGTGACATGCTACGAAAGAACAAAGGGATCAGACCTGGTTCAGAGATTATGAAGTGATAAAAGAATGAGAAAAGTCCATGGAAATCATGGAAATAACCAAGAGTCCACCACTTTTTGCATCTGTGGACAACAGCTTGGTAGCTCCAGCAGGTTGTGGGACCTGCAGCACACGCAGGGAAGGACTTGCAGAACTCTTGGAAGATACCATTTATTATTCAGCTGGAAACACAGTTAACACCAGTGGGATTTGATCTCCCTCATAAATGTGAACAATTTTTACTTAGAGCAGTCAAGTGACCACCAGGGCTCCTTCAGCCTGTGGGACTACAGAGTACAGTTTTAAGCAGTTTTATTAACTTTAGTTTAAATCACTTCCAGTGCTGATCCCCCTAAAGATCAAAGCTGTTCCATCATTTATACCTGGCAGGCAGTAAAATCCTTACGTAAATCTGTAAGTCCACTTGTTAAGTTTAACATTCATCACTTAACACCACTTAGCAGCCAGCCAGGGAAGAGTGTGCATGCCAGGCCCAGCCAGTCTAGCTGCAGCTTCGCAGCTAGCATCCAAGGCTATGTAAAAGGAGTCAAAGGGTTCATCTGATAACTGCTCCTCCAAAAGACACACAGGGGAGATGGCCCTTGGAGAGCACACCTCTGCTCCCCATTTCATCTGTGCCCCCACTGTAACTATGTCTGAATTCCTTAAGTTACTAGGAAACCTCAGAGAGCTGCAGAAAACATTTTGTGCCTAATGAGGCCTTCTTGGACCACAGTGTCATCAGACACTACCATGTCCTGCTAATGAGCTTCTCTCTGTGCAGTGTGGAGCTGCACTGAACTGAACTCTCCCCATAGGATGACATGCCATAAACTGGCAGATTAAACTTTCCACTGGACCAGGGACAGTTGCAAGGCACTGGGATGGCATCCAGCTTCAGCTAAGCAGAGTAGGGATTGAGAACATGAATTTATAACCAGCAACCACCAATGAGGCATAGGGAGCCATGTGTACAGCATATACTTGGGGAAGAAGACTGGGGACTAGAGAAAAGCTGATTCCACCTAATGTAGGGCAGGCAGGACACAAAAGGACCATATTCATCTACTAGAAAACAATACAGGAAAATACAGAGGCAGGACCATCATGCCTTTAAGGAAAAAAAAAAAAAAAGAACAAAAAGGACAGAAAATGGATTTGTCCAACTAATATTTGGAAACAATGATTTCCCTCCTTAGGTTTAGAAAATACATTCCATGCAGACAAGGATGTTTAGAAGGAGATCCAGCAGCCCCAAGCAGGGGCAGTAGTAGCTAAAAGGCAAATGGCTCATCCCCAAGAGATGACAGGTCTGGAATGAAAACCATAATAGAGGAAGCAATGAAAGACAAGGATATTTAGGTAGTATAGTAGCAGGAACTACACAAGTTAACAAGAGAAAAACTAGAAGATGGAGAGATGGATACCATCCAGAAGAAAACTGCAACTAACCCAAAACAACTGTTTCTGTTCCCCTTTGACCGGTACAGGTGTGGAGCCTCTGCTATGCGATGTGCCAAACCATTTCTTTGGGAAACACTTTTTCCTGAAGTTTTCTCCTCTTTTTATTTCTCCCTTTCCCCCTCCTTCTTCTCTCCCACTCCCCCCTCCTCCCTCCAGGCAGAGATATGTTTCTCTCAGCTGCTTCTGTGCCTGTGACTTTACTGCATGGGGGAAGTCAGTCCGGAAGGTCACCTCTTTCATCAAGTATTCTATTTGCATCCAAAATTGTATGTACATGAAAAATGTGGTCGTGTGTTGCACCTAGCTGCAGACGCAGATGAAATTCTGTGGAAAGCCTGATGCACACTAACCTTTGCAGATGGTGCAGCTATTGCTGAAAAATGGATTGCTTAATAAAGCATATCATCCGACATATTTGCTGCTTGGCTAGCCAAATAGAAGTTGTTTTTTGCACAAATTTCCTTGTCAAATTTGTCAATGTTCATGTCATTTTTGCTTTAGGTCACAGAGCAAGGTGCAAATTCTTGGCATCTTTACTAGTTGCAAGCCAATTTCGGCTATTTCTAACAATGAAGTGAATTTCTCTGAGGATAAGACACTCACTTTATGGGGAGGAAAGGAAAACAGCAGGAAGTGGATAATTTTTTTTTCCAGGTTTTTTTTGTTTTTTTTTTTTTTTGTTCTTGCTTTATCTCTTGTCTTTTTTTCTTTCTTTCTGAGGGGTAACATTTGCACTCATTTATGGACCTTGTTAATTCATAGTAGAGAGAAAGGTCTTTTAGCCTATTGAATCATTTACTTAGTTTGACTATTTGTGCAAGACGCACACAGATTTTTTGCATTGGTGCACACAAAATTTATCCCTTTGTGCAGGAAAACTTTCAAGAGAATAAAAGACCCATTCCTTTGGTATTCTCAGATGTGGAAGGCAGCAGATTCTCCCCATCCAGCCATCTGCCAGTAATTCTTTTTAAGCCTCACAACCTCTTACACTAAAAGACACCTAATGTATCTGTTTTGTTTGTTTCTCTACCTGCTCTATATCGTTTGGCTTTGCCTATAGACACATCACATTTCCTGCTCAGAGGCACATTTTGCAAGCCTATTCCCTTTCACCTGGGTTTCAGACCTTTTTTCTACATGGTCATTTCCCAGACGTAGTCATAGCAAGCAGCTCTACTCAGATGCAAAAGCGAAAACTGCCATTACCGTGCTTGCTAAGGTAACAGCCTTGGCTGAGGGAGTGTTTAAAAATGCAGCATGCTTTCACTGCGCTACCATAAGAAAACAGTACCAACCCCTGTCACTAGGGTGCAGTACATCAAGAAGGCTACAGGGAACACGGGCAGCTCAGGTAAGCAAACACAGTGCATGCGTGAAAGGGCTGGAGCCCCATTCAACCCCTTCCTCACGGCATGGCCAAGTCATATTAAAGGAAAGAGAGCACTCCTGGGCCGCAGTGGCCCCTCAGAAGACCAAACCCTACTCCTTCTGTGGTGTTGCCGGCAGTACTAGCAGCATGCACTTTGGGGTACAGAGCTCCACATCCAGCCAGCCATCCAGATATACCAGTTTTTTGCAGTCCTCCTCAAGGAGAGCTGCAATTTAAGTGTCAGGCAGAGTATTTGTTTTGCATTTCCCTTTTTGTTCAGTACCTCAATAAACAGTACATTTTCCATTTACTAGGAACAGATGCATTCCTCTCTGGGCTGTGCCATATTCCTGCAGCAATCACGTTTCTCTTTGGAGGATTCATTTCTCCCTGAATTCCCACCTCATACAAAGTCCTTTATCAAGCATAACCTTTTCCAAAGATGCACCAGTTGCTAAGTGCATCCTCCAGTGATCTATTCCTATAAAGGAGGACTTTGCTGCAGGACACAGGCATCTGATATAATCCTATTTGCCTCCCAGACAGGCTGCCCCTTCAGAAAGTGAATTATTCTGCAAGGAACATTTTGTTTACAAGGTTTATGTTGTTAGCAGGTGTATTCCCACTAGTAAGTTTTCCACTGCACCATTTTTTTTTTAAGGTCTTGTTTGGTAGCCAGATAGCCGAGACTGCCTGTGATAAAGCCAGCACAAGTGATTAATAGCAAAGTCTCTGCCATTTTATTATTAATAGCAGTGTGTTGACTCAATTAAATCCAGCCTGCTTTTTTTGGCAGGCCTTTGCAATTATACATATCATTATGGGCTGCAGCCCAAATGCATCCTGGGAGTAGACCAGAACTCCACATTAACTTTTTCTGGCTCTCTCTTTGCAGGTTGGCCACTGTAACATGTGGGCTATAACCAATCCAGGCTGCTTCGGGGATGGCAGAATAGAGAAAGAAGGACAAATGGCAGTGGTGACGATCACACCTAGAAAGGGCATGCTCCCCCACAGCAATAAAGAGCCTGGCAAGCGCATCCTGAATCCACCCCTCCACACTGAACCCCATAAACACTATGTGAAGTGTCTGGACAGTACCTGTTACCAGCAGTGGTGATTTTCCAGCACGCTGAGGGGAGTGTTCAGTAATCCCTTCCAAAACAGACTTGCAGGCAGCTTGGCCTGGCTTGAAGAGGCACTGAACTGAGGTTCAGGCCTTTATTTTGAGACAGACTCTGGCAACTCGTGTTGAGTTGGCAAGTGTGGCAAGAGACTCATCTCCTAGTAAAGCTGGAATACCCCAACTCAAAGTACCCCAAAGCACACTGCAGGCATGCTCTAGTGTTGGACACACTGCCCCTACCTTTTGAAACATCCCAACTAGTCTCTTGGGAAAAGCCAGTCATGGGGCTAAGGCATAAGACTAGGGCAGAGCCAAATTAAGTTCTCAGCACTGATATGGACTCCTTGTGTCATTGCAGGTGAGTCTTTTATTTGTACAAAGTCCTGTGGAATTTTCTGTACCCTCCAAACTCAAGAGATCTGTGAGTCATTTTAATCGCTTGTTATTTGGGAGCACTAAGCTTGGGTGCCTAAATGGTCAATGGGGAGATGCAGAGACAAGGATAGGTTACCTTACCTTGGGTTTTGAAGGAAGACAGATTCTGGGGATCCTGGACAAGTGGTGAAGTGAGGCACTTGTAGTTTTCTCACAGCCTTTTGTGACAGCCCATCCATAAAACGATGTCCTGTTAATCATGAGAAAAAGCTCTTTTTGGACATGAAGCTCAAGAGACCTGTATATACAGCATCTAGCACAGTGAGAGTCTGATCCAAATTCTAGGCCTTGCCATCACCCAGGTAACAGATCTTAGCCATAAAGTGCTGGAGGAACAGCCAGGTCTGGCACCTTGCAAAAGCAGCGTACATTGCCCAGCAGCACTGACCCATCATTGTCCTCTGCAGACTGGGTGGGCTTCAGCTTCCTGCAACCTGCTAACCAGAACTGGCAACAGCAGTCATATCCTCTAGCATGCATGCAGTCCATGATACCTCTCACTATGAACGCTGGATTTTAATTCCCAAGCCCACTGCTCTCTACAGCTGCAGGTCTGGATTCTATTCTCCAGTGGAGCCTGGAAACATCCCACATTCCTGTAGGTACCCAGGGCTCTTCCTGCAGCATCAGAGGAGATTCCAACAGCCACAGCTGAAGCCTCACAAAAACCAGCAGATCCCATTTCCCATTACCTCAATATAGAGAGCTTTGCAGCTGAAGGCTTTTTCCAGCTTGTGCTACTTCATCTTCCAGAAGCCCATTAAGACAGGAGGGCACACTGTGGTTTCCATCCCAGCTTGGCCTACCTCCATCCATGTCATCCATCTGGTTTATTTGCTGGCATCAGACAATCCACAGCTGTGGGGCTCTTGCTAATCCAGGGAGGAAGAGTTTAAGTGCTTGGCCTATAATCTCCTCCCAGAGCCTGCAATGCCTTTGTGGAAATAATTCTGCTGCCGGACAAGGGAATGCAGAGGAGCTCTGCTGTCTGTGTTCCCTTATACAGCTCTCAGCAGTTGCAGTAAAGACTTTGTACCCATCCTCAGCCATTGATGAAGCTAATACCTGCAGGACTGAGTATTATGGGTGACAGACTACCTGTGTCCCACAGATCTATAGATCTAACAGATCTGTGGAGGTCCTCAAGAGGTCCTCAGTCTGTGCAGATGCTTAGCTCCATAAGTCTCAGACAAGGAACAGTCTATTTGGCACCCATATGTGAGCTTTGTCTTGTGAAGGGGGATATGCACTGCTATTTCTACAAACCCAGATGGGAAGTGGCTTCTCACCATCATCTCCCTTACTTCTGTCACACAGGGTGGCTTTCCCAACCTAAGGCCAAGCTTTGGCAGGAAGTCTCCAAACTTTCTTTTTTGGCAGGAAGTCTCCAAACTTTGTCCCTCTTTCTGAGAACCAAAGCAGAGCTTATGCAGAATGAGTGCCTCCTTGAGGAGCCTCAGCAACACAAGCAAATGCCACCTGTGACAACACTAAGTTCAAATACCCTCAATGTGCCTGGGAAAGACCCAGGGAGTTCTGGCAGACAGGATAGGATGGATGCACACATAGCAGCAGAGAAGAGGGGACTAGGAGGATTGATGGAGATATTCAGGGGCTTTGTACAGCCTGTGTTTCCTCCCAGACAAAAGAGGCTGCAGATGCTTGGCTGTGGCTTACAGGAGTGCCTCTCCTAGCCCACTGCTAATAAACCAGAATGGTTATTACCTCAGTGAGTAAGTCTGTTTTCCTCTGAGATTTCCTTAACCCCAGGATGAGCGACAACCAGATTGGAGTTGATCAGACATTTGCAAGGGCCGTTCCTGTCACCGCAAGATCAGTTAGTGGGAACTGAGCTGTTATTTCTTCTCTTATCAGTTACGGCAGGAGCTTCCTTGCCTTGTGGCTGAGGCTGCATTGTACCAGTGACTCAGAACATAACTAAACCATGTAAAATGTCATCCTGTGTTTGCCATTAATAAGCTCTCAATTAATAATACAAATTTCCAAGAATACCCCAAGCCTGAAACTCAGCGCTGTGCTGCCTAGCAGAGCCAATCAGGGTGCTCTCAGAGTCAAGCCACAATTAAGTAGCTTTGCTTTCTAGGGAAGATCACTCCTTGATGCTGCAGTTGGAAAACTCCAACCCCAGAACATGTACAGACCATGCTGCCCCATATGGGATAAGAACTCCTGTGAGTTAGAGCATCCCAGGAAAGCTTTCAGACTCCAGTGAAATGGTTTTACTTTTAAATATCACCAGACCTGATTCTGCTCACTTGCAGGTGTAAGTTACCCACTGAAGTACATGGGGCTGATCAAATGGAAAAGCAAGAAGACAAGACCTGGAGCTATGTTTAGGAGGCCCATAGTCAAAATCAAATGCATCAAAATCAAAATGACAGGTACTATTGCAATGTCAGCTGACCCCAGATTTTTCAACACATATGCAGTGTTTCAATAATCAGTGTGTACACATGAACTTTTTTCGCTGTTCTCAGCACAAGTACACAGGAAATCATGGGCAGATTTAGGCTTGCATCAAACACATCAATCTTTCTGAAGGCAGATCTAAAAAGCATGGGGATACAGCCTAGGCCATGTGTGCATTTCTTACATACGTAAGGGCAAAGGCAAGGAATTCATGGCCACTTACCCAAGCCCTGCACCCTCTGCTCCCGCACACAGCTAACCTTACCTGGAGGAAAATACCCCTCTCTCTGGTATGCAGAAAGTATCCCCAAGGACACCCTCTGTCACAGACACACAGAGCAAGGCATCTTTCTTATTTCTGCATCATTCATGTCACTCCTTCTCTGTGCCTACCGTAATATACCATCTCTTGCTGTCTGTACATATCTACGTCCGCCACACACACACCCTTTCAGTAAGCAGGCATGCAGACAGACGTGCTTACAAACACACACCACCCGCAGGAGGAGCTCCAGGTATTGAGAGGTAATCCTCCCTGCTCAGAGAGACTGGTGAATGGAATAATTAATTTTCTGACAAGCATGAATATCACACAAAGGCAGCCACCCGGATATGGTGGAACGTTTCCAGCCAATATCCATGCGATCTGGATATTTGGATTCACCCATCCCCAGATCCTGCTCTCAGCAGTGCTGACAGCAGCAAAGCTGACCTTTCTGCTCTGACTGGGAAGGTCTCCTGGATCTGGCTGGCTGGTAGAAGACAGCTGAACCACTGTGCATAGCCTTCTCCTCCTTACCACCAAAGACAGAGGGACCTTGCAAGCTCCCATCCCTCACCTACTCCTCCCACATGAAATTAATTGCCCCCTACCTCCCACCCCCCACTCTTGTCTCTGGGGCAGGGAGAGAATTCCACAAGCAGCATCAGTCAGCTCAAACCTGACAGTCTTCCCTGGTGGAGAATTAAGGACAAGTCCATGATGCAAGGACACCAATTCTCCAGGCTACAAACGAAACTTCTATCACCCCTAATCTCCTGTCCTGGCTTAAGTTAACTTGTTCTCCTCCATCTTGCATAGAAGGGTTAATACATCTGTGGAGAGCAACTGCAGATCCTAATCCTAGGAGATCAAGAAAGGGGGAGCTTAGAGAAGTACAGGATACTAGGCAGAACAGTTCTCTTAGACAGTGCCTCAAATTGCCAGAGGATTCCTGGTTACAGAGCTATGATGCTCCTAAAGGCTCAGGTATACATCTGTTTGCTTCCATGCAAATGTTCAGCCAGTGTTGCTTTAGCATAATTGACCAGTCTTGACAGAAATGGAAAGAATGATCTTACCATGCTGGACATCTGAGCCCCATTCCCAGCTCTGCCTTCAGCTTTGCATGTGATCAGGGACAAGTCACCTCTGTTTCATAGCTTTAAGACTAATACAGAAATACTTGGCTTGACTGTTTTGCCTGTAAGCTCCTCAGATCACAAGCTCATCAAGAACTCTGGTCAAGAGCTAGACCAAGACAGTGCTTGTTGCCTTATAATAAAAGGTTCCCTTATGGTTGTAGAAAAGCACAAGCATGTGTGGCTAGACACTTGCAGATATGGTCACTTGCACACTGCCCAGGATACATACATGAACCTATGCTCCTTGCCTGGTGCCGTATATGTCACATCAGCAGTCTCTGCACATATCCCACCTCTTAAGTGCTTTCAGCTTGGGATTCACATCAGGGAAGATAATACTGGCACAACTCTTTTGAGAAGAACTGAGGCCAGGGACTTGACTGTATACTCTTAGACAGGTATTTGCTGACAATTTTTGTGAGAGTTCAAGTCTGAGCCAAACTTCAATGTGATAAAGTCAACTTTCCATTGTGTAGGTTGGGTTCTATCAACCTGCTGGTTCCAATCCTTCCCAGTACACTTGGATCTTTGAATTTTTTCATCCGCAGTCATGACACTTGGAAACACTGCTTGGCTTTTACTGGGAATTGGCAAATAACACACTCCTTTGTGTGTATGAGAAACCTCTTAATCTTCTTCTTTTCTCTAAGAGAAGCTAGGAAAAGAACCCAGGGGAATTATCTTACTGTAAAATTAAGGCTTACAAGTAAAAGCAGAGTCATGAAAAGCTAAAGGTCCTTTAAAGCTAAAAGTCATGCTTAACTTGATTTTTCAGCTCCTGGGGCTGTCATCTATCCACAAGAGCTCAGTATGTCACTATTTATGTTTGCCAATAGGTCCCACAAAAGAGAGAAAGTATTGTTGTGTAAGTCATTGCCCCAGTCCAGAGTACGTCAGGAAATTCCCATGAATATGTACAATACAGAAGGAAACAAAGACATCCAAATATCTGCCTAGTAAATAATATACCTAAGATTTTCGAAGTGACATACCAAAGCAATGAGGGATTAGTCAAAACCCTGGATTAGATATGGGTTCAAACTCTGCTCTCCTCAGGCTAACGTGACTTCCCAGCCTTATGAGCTGGGCTGAAGCCCAAGACCCTGGGATTCAAAAAAACAAATAAATAAAGAAAAAAAAACAGCCCACAGGTGGCTTTTTCAAGAGTAGCAAGAGGGCTTGGGAGTGCAAGACGGTGAGATGTGTGTTCCTAAGTCCCTCCACTGCTTTGGAAGGAAGGCTCCTAGCCCTAGGAGTAAAATAAAAGTCAGGAGATATATATGGCTGCTAGGCTAATGAAGCTTAATTTTTTTCCAGCTCCCATTTATTCTTTGGTTTCACTGCAGAGCATTGATTTCTCATTCCTGCACCTTTTAGATACGCATATAAACAGGCACGTACATTTCATATATTGGCAAATGTATATACGCAGAGCTAGGCAGGGAAGTATGTTTATACATGTAAAGCAACTGGGTATTTACAAGCTGTTTCTAAGGTTATAATATACTTTGCTGTTATGAACTGCTTCATTAACCTGTCAATCAGGTTATTTTCTCTCTTTCACCCCTCTTCCATGTTACTGTGTGTGCTGGAAGCTAAGCATGTGTGTTTGTGTCAAGTGTATTATTTCAGACAGTACAGACACACAGACACACATGGATGCAAGCCCAGGAATTAACATGGTTTCACTGCTGCCTCTCCAGAAGCTTGGCTCTGGCCTACCCTCTGGACTTTACTAGCCATGGAGATGCCTTATGCAGTCATTTATCACCCAGTCCCTAGCCAGTGGCACTGGGGTCCCTTCGCTCCTTCCCCAGGCAGCCTGGCTGCTGCATGGGAGGAGGGGCCTGTCTGCAGCATGTTTGCAGTTTGGAAGCACTGCTGATGGGCTAGTCCCCAATAAACCCCCCAAAAGTGCTGATGTGCTGAAAGCAGCTGACACTGATGGATCTGCTCTCATCTTGCCTTTCAGTCCCACTGCAAGAGAGAAGAGAGAGTGGAAGAGAAACAAAGGCAGAGATTAACTCTTTTGTCACAGAGCTCTGCAGTTTTACAAGGCAAGATAAAGCTGCTCTCCAGGTTGGGTGCAGATGGGACCAGCTCAGCACAGTCTGGCTGATTCTCTATGGAGTCAAATCCAGCGGAAAAAAAAAAATCCCAAACTGAAGCCTGAACTGCACAATTATTTACTGACAGGGCCAGTGCTGCCTAACTGAGCCTTGTAACTTTCCTTGTGGTTGCAACTACAGCCAGGAAGACCAGGAGGGATGCCTGAGTATGGTCCTGGGCAACTGACTCTGGGTGGCCCTGCTTGAGAAGTGGGGTTGGACAAGAAGTTCCCCTTCCCACATCAACCATTCTGTGATACTATGATTCTCCCAGATCTGCATGCCAGCTACTAAACCAACAACACTGCTTGCACCCACACTGCTTAAGCACACGTGTCACAGGTATACCCAGACAAACCCACCCAGACTGATTAACACATGCAAACGCAGACCCTTGAGGCATGATACACACTGCTCAGCCAGTAAGACACTCTCCTGTGGATGCAGGCTTAATAAACACAGACATCCAGGTAGATCCTGTGCTTCATACATTCCTGTGTCTGAAATCACAGAGTGGATTTTGCTTGTCCATGATGCCAGGCATCAGACTCCCCAAACCAGACCTCAGGCTGTCATTTTGATACTCCTCACTAGAGCCAGTCAGAATGTTTCATTCAGTTAAACTAAGTTTTACCAAAACTGACCTATTTGGGCAACTGGATCCATCTGGATCAAGTTTTCCTCAGGAATATCATTGTTCCAAGAGGCTCAGATATGAACCCTCAGCCTGCATTTTGATGTCAATCAGCTGCATAAGAAGCATTTGGAAGCTTTCCTTCTTCTCTCGCTGTGCTGGAAAGAAACTTCATTGTGTAAGTCATTCAGCAGCTGCCAAGAAGCAGGACTATCACCTTCCAGACCTCCTCTCTGTGAAGGACTAACACCATATCCACATGGATGTGTCTTCTCCCCACGTGGTCACATATAGTGTTCAACGCAAACACAGCTAAAGGTTCACCCCATCTTTTTCAGTGCTTTTGCACAGCTGTATTTAGCACTGACAATGTCACAGGTACAGCAGGACCCCAAATTCTCACATACCCAACTAAGATCAAATGCCCTCAGAAAGGCAGACTGTTCTACATTAAGCCTAAGTGCACAAGCAGATACCTGTATTAGTACTAACACAAGGGAAACAAGAATAATACTAGTGCTAATTCTAGTTAATAAAAATGTTAAAAAACGTTCTTGCTTCTGTCAAAAATCTCATTTCACTTGTAACTTTGATTTCCTTGATTTGGAGAGAAGAAGAGGGATACTTTTTCTAGGTTGTTCTTAAAAAAAAATCTTAAATCCATACTGAAAAACTTAATCATTTTTCAGTTTCAACAGAAACTTCCAAATACCATCTTTCACAAAGAAAAGTTCAGATTTTTAATCAAGAAAAAGAGAGACACCCTGTGTCACAAGAACGTCATTTTCCCAGTGGAAAACACTGCTGAGTTCCAACACTGCACAGCTCTAATTTTTGCCTGCGTTTTTCAAGCCTTGCTTGTCCTGCATTTGTGTTGCACACTTCACAAGTATTCCCAGCAGCTTCAGGCAAACCAGTCATGGGGTAAAGCACAAATTAGTATGAATGAAGGGAGCAGGAGCCAGCCCCTGCTGAATGTTGGGGTTGTTCTAGGGTTACTGTCAGGACTGGGGTCGTCTAGTGCCGAGCCTGGTGCAGCTTCACAAATGCATAGAAAGAACCTGTCAGATCTGCAATCCACCCATCATAAAGCACATCAATAAAGATAAGTATATTACAGTTGGACATGGACACACTCCAAAACACAGACACATCACCACAGCAAAGCGTCCTGCTCTCACATACACTCTGCTGAACATACAGTCCTTCCTGAAACACGAACAAGATCTGCAAGCCAACAAACAGAAAATGGGGGGGATTGAGGACAAAGTCTTGAGGTTTTTTAATTTATTTTTTGAATTCCTAGAGGAAAAAAAAAAAAAAAAGGAGCCTTTTAATTATTTTTTAAGCAGTTTTTCTGAGAAAATCTTGACATGCTTTTTGCAACATATTTTCAGGTTTTGCCTATTGCCCCACATTTCCTCTTAATGACAAATTCTAAATGCTGAGTTAGACTCCCAGAATCTAAAAGGGCCTTGCAGAACACTGCTCTCATCTAAGGGATAATTTCAAATGAAACCTGAAGTAGAAATTTGCTCTAAAGCCTGAAAACAAGTTTGAAATTTCAAAGTTTCCCACCCCACACAAATAACAAAAATAATTTCACCATGTCAAATACAGTCTAGGAAACAAACCACCAAGGAATTATCGATCATCTCTTCATATGTCCTTAATAAAATCTTGGTCTAAAAATCTATCCACAATATGCCATCTGCCACACACTGAGATGAAATATGGTGTGTGCTCTTGGCATCTAACATTCTGATGAGCCATTTGTGAAATCTCTGTGGAATTTCACATTCTCAGTAACACACTTTTCTAGGGGACTGATTTTCAACTTTATCTGTGGGATCTTAAAATATAAAGTAAAAAAGATCAGCATCTGAAGGGCTTAAAAACCTATCTGTAGATAGTTGTACAGCTGGTTTGAACTTGCCTTTCTCAGTTACTTTTGCAGACTCACTTAGGAACAGTCAAAAGTCCCCAGGGGGTCCTGTGCACCCTGAAACCAATATTTGCTGCTGTAAGGAAGGGCTGTAAACACCTCTGAACAAAACCTGTCTCCTTCTCCATTTCAAAGCGCTGACAGCACTAAGAGGTGCTTAAGCAGGACACTCGAGCAAGCGCCTGCTTTCAAGCACCTGAGGAGTGCTGGCGAAACAGTGAATTCCTCATGTGCTGCAGGTCAGGCATGTGCGTAAACTGTGGAGAAGTGGAGCCCTAAGCAGCCACCACAAAGCTGATCCCACCAGCAAGTGCCACACAGCCGCCAGAGCCCCACACCCAGGGAGAGCACCTAGACAGGAGAGGACTTAGCTCCACAGCCCATGCGCCCACGTCAGCACCCTCCACTCCCAGCAAGACCACAAGGGCCCATTTATTCCAAGATATGAAATTTGTGTTGTTTCTTTATTGTGCTTTAATGAAACCCTGTTTATTCTAGGCTTTTAATTCTTTCCATCTATTATGTTTAGACAACTCATTAACAATCATTTGTTATCATTAAACTTCAATTCTAAGCTCCTTTTCCCAGAGGAGGCAATGCGGTGCTTTTAAACATATTTGCATCATAAACAATTTCAGGGCCCTGTGTGCCATCTATTACCCTGGCCTTTCCCCACTTCTTACAAGCCCTTCTTACCCAGGCTGGAAGGTGCTGAAAGAGCTTTGCTGGGATTTTGGCTGGGTCCAGGATAATGCACATTTTTCCCCAGGCTCGAGCCATGGAGGGCTCTGCATTAGGACAGCAGCCTGGTGCATTAATAGCAAACTCTTGAAATCCCAGGTCATGTAATGGTGAGCTGCTCTTTCCACTGGGATTAATGACTACATGCTGCAGCTGAATTCATTAGGGCCTGCTAAAGATAGCATGCTAGCCCAGGATAATGTGTGGGCTTCATTCTGCTCATTTATGGTTGTTCAGCTCCACTGGATTGAGTGAAGTCATTCCTGATTTGCAGCAGGGTCTCTCGTGTGCATGCTAGATAAGCACTACGTCACACTTTGCATTCATTGACAGCTCCCAGTGGGCAAAAATCTGATCCCTGTTGGGTCATGTAAATCCAGATCAACATTCACTGAGGCTGCAAAGCATCCTTTGGATAGGAAGTGGCATCAGCATGCATAGAGTGTGGTTTGCATGATGAATCTTGCTCTGATAGAAAGGAAGTCCCTTACGTTGTATAGAAAACAGGAAAAGAGTTGCCTTTTTCCTCCTGTTTATTCTGTTTTGCTTGGTTCTGTATTCATCATACGCTGCACATCACCAACCAGTAAAATACAGCAGAAAAAAAGAAATCACTAACCTGGAATCTCTTACGTATGTTTTGATCTCCAGAATCCCATTCCAAATCATGCTCAAAAAATGTTGCAGGTGCCAGCCATATCCCCTCTTTCCCACATCCCAGTGAGCATGCCAATGACACAACTGTTTAGAAGAAGTGTGTATCTTATTAGTAGCATTGCTAGATCATCTCTGTCAGTGCCAAGTCCTGTGCTGGTGCTAATGCATTGTCATTGTTGCCTTGCTAAGCTGGGATTTGGCTTTTAAAGCTCATCTGGTGGTGCTACCCCATGTCCAGTAACATGACAAGAATGCACATTTTGGAGCTATTGTGTTTCAATACAGCCCCAGCACTTCTGAATGGCAGTTCAAAAGAAAACTGCTGCCCAAAGGCCTCAGTTCTGCATAGCCTGTGCCCAACTTTAAAGATTTGGAGGCCATTCAAAGGCATTTCATTTGTCCAAAAGCCCCTTCACACCACCAAGTGCAAAGGAGGTATTGCATGCAGTCAAATTTTGCTGGCTAGAGTGCACATGCAGAGGAACAGCAAGCTGTACCACCACACCTATTATAGCTTTCTATGTGGATGTCTGTAGCTTAAACAAAGATGAAAAAGCTCTATACATGATATTGAGAACTGTTCATGGAGATTTTACACCTCTGATGAACTCTACAACCTGTGCTAGAGATAATGATGATCCCAGCTGCAAGGCTCCGCCCTGCATGCTAAGTAAATTCCTGTAATTTTCTATGCTTCCTGTTGTTATTTTGATCCAATTAAAGACATTGCAGTTAAGTGAAAAGTCATGATTAGCTAATTGGATTTAGGAAGGCAGAAGACCCATCAGGGGCCAGGTTTAATTTAGGTTGCCTTAAAATTTCTAAAGCCACTGGCAGACTAGAAGAGGTAAGCTCCATCCTTGGCTACCTCTAGCTTGGAGAAAAGGGATTAGTTAGTTTTCCAGCGAGCTCCCTGCTGCCTTGCATCCGCTGAGCTTTCCCATTCCAATGCCTGCATCAGAATCTCTCTTTTTTTGGAATCTGCCTCCTGCAGTGGTCCTTTACAGATCTCCCACATGCCCTTCCTAAGTCTCTTGTCCCCAGTCTGGTCCTACACCATTCACCGCTTCTCCTGCTTTCTCTAAATACCTGTGCAGTTCCCTCCCAAAAAAACACATGTTCCCATGGTTTTGAGGGCACTTTTGTGCAAGTCACATACATGACTGGACCTTCACTCCCAGATGTGGGACTTCAAACTCCTTTGAAGTCAAGTGGAAGTTTTACACTCTGGTTGAAGAGGTTCAGCATGTGGAGAGCTCCAAACACTTCTTCACACTCCAAGAGGTCAACTCCTTCCAGATGCCCTAGATGCAGACCCCTGGGGCTCCAATCATGCAGTGAGGTGGATACAATAAAAGATCGGTTTCCATGAGTATTTGGAAGTGACCTGAAGCCTATGGGTGGTATTTCCAACATAATAAGTTAAAAAATGGTGTGCCATATGCTCTAAAACCAGAAGGTTCAGTGAAAGTCATTAAAATACTTTGTAATATCATAGATCCTGAGTTCCTTCTTTAAGCTTCTTGATTTGGTTGACAATTTAAAGCTTCTCAGGCTATTTAGTCTGATTTAATGCCCACCTTGGACATAGAAACATTGAAAAGATAACAAAATGAAAGCACAGCTCACATTGTCATATGCTTACCTGATTCGAAGGAGCAAGGAGTTTCAGAAACTCAGTAGTTTTCATGAAACATGCAAGAAAAACTGAAGAGTTACTAACACTACCATCTAAATGTACAATGAGCCACTTGCATGAGAGCAGTAACATTCAAGAAATGTATCCTAACAAACATTAACAAGAGTAAACAATAGTTGAAATAGAATCCAACTAAAGGACGCTTTCCAAATACTTTTATGATTTTTGGTTTGGCTTTTTTTTTCTTTTTTCCTTTTTCCTTTTTAAGATCATGTCTGAGCATTTAGAAAATCTCAGGATTTTCCAATCTTGCACTGAAAACACAAGACTTTCAAGACCTCCAGGCATGTTAAGAAGCCTGGCTATTAATAATTGTAAATATCTGCAGCATTCAGTAGTGGGAAAAAGAGTCACTTAAACCATTACCTGGCATACCTCTGTTCCTATCGAACTCGGAAAGATAAAGAGGATCAGCGAAAGCAACAGATACCTCCCACTTGTTGCTTTTTTTTTTAAATAAATCATTATTTTTATTTTGGTTGACAACTGCAGTGGAAATATACTCCCTGGGCCACCATTTCTAACCCCTCTGAGGATTTTTCAAGGCTTATTTCAACTGAGTCCTTTTTGCAAGCCTGGTCCTTCCCCCCAAGGACGTTTCTACCCAAAAATCTTTAACATCATTGCTACTTTTACACAAATGTCTAACACGTGCTTCCTTCCCTATGGTCTTGTCTGTATTGGACCAGAAGCCAGAAATTGCCAGGACCCAAGTTCCCAACGCCTCCTGATCTTGGCATTGACTGCCTTTCAGAACTGGGCCCCTGAGGCTTCACAGTTGGCTCTTGAAAAGCAAAAGGGCCCCTCCTTAAAATCACAGTCCGTGCAAGTTTGTGTCTTCCATGAAAATTAACATGCTGGACAGCAGATGGGACAAACACATGCTAGAGGCCAGATCCTTATGTTGGTTACACCAGTATCATTTGCAAACTTGAGAGAACAAGGGCAAAGAACAGAAATAGAGCAATTTACATGAGCAGTAGGTCTACTCTCCTGCTGGCTGACAGTAATAATTTGGATTTTCAGGCGGGGGCAGAGAGGCAAGAAAAGAAATAAATACCTTTATATAAAATTCCAACCCACAACAAAGCTTTCCTAAGAGAACCACGGTGTGACATTTCATAACCAATCCAGGTACTGTAAAAAGTAAACAAAGAACAACACACCACCATACCACTCTTCCAAGCAACAGGCTCCACAACTGCCTTCAACAGGCTCCACAGCTGTCTTTGGAAATCCATACTGTCCCCAGGAATACACATATGACTTAATTTTCCCTTCTCTGCTCCCAGTGTCTGATTTATGCTGCCTAAAAATACCTACTTATGGTGAAAATAATCATGGTGCAATCTTACGGAAGTTTCCAGCAGCATCCTGCAAAAGAGCAATGCCCACAGTGTTCAGACAGAGCACAGAATAATGATGTATGACATTTTGCAAATAAAGTGCTTCCTCTTTGGAAAGCCTTGACTTCTTTGCATGGAAGACCCAAATCCTGGACCAATATTCTCCCCCATCCCTAACTGTCCTCTTTATTCTTGGCCTCATTGATTTGGGGACACTCGTTCCTTCTTACTATTACTCTTTCCTACATTTTGTCTGGGCACCCTCAAGGCCAGAAGGACCATGCAACTTTGTGGTTCTACCTGAGTCCTTTCCTCCTGAAGTTTTCACACATCCTTCTCTTTGGAATACAATTACTTCAGTTCCTTCCACTCAAGTTATATGTAAACACTGTCCATTCATTCCTTTGTGCTTGCCAAAGGGACATTGGCACTTAATGTCCTGAGGAAGCTGTGAAAATGCCAGCTAGACAGTAGGAGCAGCAGGGATTATTTGTCTAGATAGTCAGACCTGAGAGACTCTCTTGGATTTCTGATAACAGTGAATTCAGAATAAGCACCTCTGCTTTTGGATCCTCCAGCAAGTGTAACACAAAGATTTCTGTGCTCCCAGGTCAAATGTGTCTCCTTCATGGACAGGCTCTCTGGACGCATCTGGCATGTTATCAAAGTAATTTCCATTGAGCTTGATCCAGTGTTCATCAAAGTCAATAGTGACATTTCCTGGGTCATGCCAGAGGTCCAGTAATGCTCCATACCTTCCCATATGTAATCACTTAATTACCTCCCACTAATTACTTCTGCAGGGTGTTCAGCCTGCAACACCTCTTCCTGATGCTCCCTGGATCAAGCTTTTGCCCAGGAGAAGGGGTCTGGGCTGACCCATGTTATAGGAAGGGTTCTGCAGGCCCCTCATTGACCCACAAGAGACTCAGCAGTGAGCAATGGGAAAACATACTATTATTACTTCTCTTGATCAGGATCTATTTTCTGAGAGACTCTCTGAAGCAGGAAACTGATCACATCTACACGTACATTCACGAATGTCTTTACGTATGTCTTAAGACAACCGACCCCAAAGGTCAAAGAGGACTGCTGCTCTCAAAAACAATAAAGCTCTCAGCTCAACTTCAAGGAGGAGGCAAAAGCAAATGATCAGAGAGAGCAAGAAAGCAAGAGAGACGGAGATAAAGAGAAAAAACCAAGGGGAAGATGATTTTCTATCAACAAAACAGCAGGGACGAATTCTAGTTCATCTCGTCGGAAACGTCTCCTTCGTGTGCAAACACCGCCTGGAGCCAGCACTAATCTCCCAGATTAAAGCCTTTTAATAGCAATTAGTCCTCTCTGCACTAACCCACTGGACACTCCACTGCATATTTGGGAAAGGGGGGAGGCTGGAGGGAGTGCCACCAATAGTTTAACTCATAAGTGCCCTGATGTGCCTGAATGCTTGTGTTCCACATGCACTTTTGCACACAGGCTGGGATACTTTGGCAGTTTGGACTGCAGGATTTTGCAGTCCTGTTTGGATTGCAGCAGAGAATGGGACTACAACAGCTAGATCTTGGTGTTGCATGTATAAATACTTGGCTGAGTCCTATCAAACCCAGATCCAGGAGGTGGAATTTCAGAAAGGCATCATGGCAAGCCATCATTAACCAGCTACAGTCAGAAGCACTGACCTACCCCCAGTTCCAAGGGCTATCCCAGCTGGCAACAAGAGACAGCCACAGGCCGCAAGATGTCCTTAGACCTATCTTCATGCTACCAGCCTGCTGAAGCAGCCTTGGTACTGGTCTTCCCAAGTGCACACTTGGTACTACTCCCTTCCACCATCCCTAGAGAAAAGGAGGAAGGGAGATTTTTGTTTTAAAAATTGATTTTCACTGGTTCATCTCTATATCCCACCCAAGGCCTTGTGTAACCTCTCTGTGACCATATACAGGAAGCACAAGCAGCTGCCCCATCTGGATCTGGCATCCAGCCTCCTGCACAGGATGGGAGGGAGCCAGACCGCTACACCAGGAAACACAAGTCCTACAAAAAGGACCTCAGACTGCATATCAGCCCCCATTCACAAACTGAGCAGCTTGGCTGAAATGGCTGAGAGAGGGAAGATGAAAGTAGAGGACACTGGTGCAAAACAGCAGTCTCTGCACAGAGACTCTGAACTTCCCAAATGACAAGCCAAGCAGAATTTCTTGGAAGGAGCCACATCATCTGCCCTTCGAGCTATTAGACCACACAAACAGGACAGAGAAAAACCTTCCATGAGGTGTCTGTAGGGAGGGGAGGGGAAACTACCCTGAGCTATTAATATCCTCTCCCCTACAAGCAGTGGGAGCTGCCAGAACCCCCTGCACAACCCAGTGGTGCCCCCCACCCTCTAACACACACACACACAACATCCATAGGGGTAGTGCAATTACTATTCAGGCTGGGGGCTGAAGATAGTCTCCTGGCCCTTCTTCTAATGTAAGGTTATTGTAATTGATATGAAGGTAATTGATAATGTGTTACGGTGAATAATGTCTTCAATTTTCTGCTAAATCCCATTTTTGTAGCCATCTGGGCTCCTCCAACTGCCCCCCTGGGATGCAGAGTAATAGATAGTAATTATTCTCAAGTCATTTACTTTTTCAAAGTGTTTAGTGCTTATCTGTTTTACAATTAAAATGGAAACGACCCTGATTCACTTCCTTTCTTTTTTATTTAAATAGCATTCACACACACACACACTCTCCTACAGGCACTGGAGCCTGGAGGGTGTGTGCCTGTATGTGAGAGAGCATGTGTGCATGCACATTATTGTCATACACAACCACACAGGACAGAGGTGTGTAGTTCACCATGCACCTTCACTCTGAGGCACTGTGAGAGTACAATCACACAACACTAAGAAATACAAATTGTGTTTCGTCCCCCTGATCATCCCCATGGCAATGCTCAGAGTGAATGCCTCAGAACACCCCACAGAAACACCCTGGGGATGCACCCAGCACACAACATAACAATGCAGCCCCTCACAACATACCCCAGAAACACACCACTAGATACACTTACCTCACATAGGTCTGGGGACCAGACATTCCCACAGGATTAGCCTGATGCAAGTGCATCAAAGTGACAGCATTTCAACCCAATACTGGTAATCTGTATAAAGATAAAACTGTAAGTTTTAACAAGAGATACATTTATACCCAGAATACATTTAGGCATATAAATGCAGAGAGCCATATTAACATACAGTAGAAGCCAGAATATACATTTAAATTAGCTAATATAAGCTATTAAATGTACCACCAATGAAAAGCATACCTTGCACAGCAGCTAAACCTATTTCAGTATATGATCCAAACCTCCCCAGCGTTAGCAGAACCCCTTCAGGTTCTGCCTCAGCTTGTGGTATGCCAGGTGATACATAAACAAGCATATCCATGATGTTCATGGGGAGACACCATGCTAGGTTTAAGGATTACTGTAACAGTTGTAGCCTAAGCCTTGGTAACCAATGCACAGGAACATCTGCAGCTGCAAACTACCTCAGTGAAATTCTTAGCAAAGAGGCCTAATAGGAAAATGGTCCAGGAACTTTCTTGGGGCAAATACTTGTGTGAGAAAATCCAATCCCTTTGAAGCCGAGTTCCAACATGCAGAAATAAACCCAGTGGAAATGCTGCTGTTTTTGTGATGGTTTGAGAAGGAACCCGAACCAGAGACTGTGTCAGACCCAGGCAAGTGTGTGGCCTGTAGGACTTCAGAATGAGGCTCTACAGCCAG